TTTAGCCCATTATTTACTTATATGGTTGTCCCTTTCAGAGTTTAGGGACAACTTTTTCCCTTTGTAACATAAAGCTCATTTTAATATATATTATTTATGTTTAGAAAAACTTTTATTAAATATTATATAAGTAATTGCATTTATTGATATTATCTCTGTAATACTCGGTCCCGAAATTGGTCTGGAATTAATTTTAACATCTTAAATTTGTAAAAAAATTATTTTTAAAATTAATTTATCTTAATTTTTATTAGATTTATGAAAAAAAAATATGTTATAGATGAAATTAAAAATAATTTTGGAAAAAATGGGTGACAATTTGGGTTCACTGGGTGTTTTTGAAAGACAATTTGCCACGTAGGACCACCCAATTAGCAACCTCGACGAATCGGAGCACGCTGCGTGGTAAGGCATGCTGATGTCGATGCCACGCGGCATGCCACGTGGGTGATCCGCGTGCCCCGCAATCGAACAACCTAGGATCAATCCCATGCTCGTGGACAGTCCGGATTTGTTCTCCCTTTAAATGCGATCGAACAGTCAAGATCAAATCGCGATGAATAGTACAGATTCATTTTCTCTTTAAATGTGATCGGACGGTCGAGATCAAACGCGATGAACGGTTCAGATTAACGCAAGATGGATATAAATATTTCATATCACACTGAACCCAAACCCTAGCCGCTAGCCTCCCGTCAGAGAAGAAGAACCAGTCATTGGAGAAGGGAGCGGATCGCCAACCACCGTCGCACTAGAACCACTCCGACCACCAAAAAAGGTAAAAATTCTCCTATCCACTTAAAATTTGATTTCGAGCACCCCCATGGCTAAATTAGAGTAAAAATAACAGCAGGTGAGTCAAAAACCTCGGACAAAGCATGGCGGCACTGCTGCGGGCAAAGCTCGCAACTGCCTCCGATGAGCCCCTTCCTGTTTCTAATTTCATACGATTTTTCCACCGTTGTGTTCATCGTTCTATTTTTATAAGTTGACTGAAGAAAAATGCCCAGCCGCAAAGGTGAGCCAGCAGAGCTGCTATACTAAAAAATCCCACCACCTGTAGGTTTTTGTTTTTTAATTTTTTTTGGCCAACTGAGGCCCTCTAACGTGTTTTTTCGCAGGGATATGTATTAAACCAGCCAAAATCAGCCAGACCGAGGTAAACCACCACAGCGAGCAGTGGTGCCGTTATCGGAGCACGGCGGTGCCATTGTGCCAGAACCTCAAAATTGACCGGAAATGGTTTTTTTCATTGATTTTAGATTCGTAGGGTATTTTTAGGGACGTGAAGTGTGTTTTAATCTACACAGAAAAATTTAAAAAACTCGGAGACTGCTAGTAGACGCAGTAGAAAGTTTGATATTTATGACACAGATTTGAGTAAGAATCCCTCACCTTATTCTCTATTATGGAATTGAAGCTTAATAATCGATAATATAGTATTTTGTATAATTTAGAAAACTTTGAGAATAATTACAAGTTACTAATGGAGTCGGAACCGATTAGTTATTTATTTATGTGTCCTGTGTAACCAATTTTTTACTTTTACAGCTTTAAATATATGAGAATGTATTAGAATGGTTAAATAATTCAGTTGTGCTTCCTTGATGTATATTTATTAATTGTCTTGTGTGATTTATGGTTAATTTATGAAATTAAAAATTAATTTGCAAACGAAAAATTGCTTGGTTATGTGAATTACTGAATGATTGTCTTACTGGATATCATGGGAGATGGTGGATAAACCGGGTACATAGAGAACCCTACCATAAATATTGTCTCATATTGGACGGGGTATTGAGGAATGGTATTTTTGATACTCATACCGAACCGAGTATAGGGACAGCCTGATTCACCCTCATACCGGATGGGGTAGTGAGGGATGGTATTTTTGGCGCTCATACCAAACAGGGTATGAGTACGACCAGTTAGTTGACAATGTTGGATATTGGTTTACGCGTAATAGGATATCCCTATGGGCCTCTAGAAATACCAGTAAGCAAATAAAAAGGAAAAGTTATTGTTTTTACTCACTTAAATATGAGATTAGAATGTTATTTAAGTAATTGTTTTTATAGGTCGATTTTGAAAATCTCATAAAGATAAATATATGCAATAAATAGTTTTCCTTATGATAAATGAATTTACTTAAATCAAGAGTTTCATTGGTTGTTTTTATGATTTTTACCAACCTTCAGTTTCTGTATCGGTGAATAGTGTGATATTTTTACTGAGCTAATATAGCTCACCCTTTCATTAACTATTTTAAATCAAGAGAACCAATATCCAAATTTCGATCAACAAGAGAGTTGTGAATAGTTCACAACTCGGACTCCCTTCAAAAGCTAGTGAAGGTCGTCCTAGAATGCTCAGTTATTTGCTTTTTATTTATTTTTTTAATTTTCATTTGTTATTTTAGAAGGGACATTCTTGTAATTCTATTGGACATTTTAAATTATTGTGTAAGGAATGTAAACATTAAACTCTATTATTTTGCTTCCGCATTTAATTTATGACTTTATTTCCTTTTATGTTCTGGATCTTTACAATCTCTATGCCAAAACCTCAAAATTCTTTTTAATTTTATTCTCTAACTCTTTCGTAGACCTCTCTCCTTTCTTTTCTTTATATTTTTTATTTCTTCTTTTCATTCTCTATTTATTCACCCACTTTCTCATAGAGCATTTAGATGTTCCACCTATATGTACATCATTTTTCTTCCTCTCCTCTCTTTTCTCAAAACTATTTTCTCTAAAAGCATCTCAAATCAAATATAATTAGACTATAACTAATCCTAAATCAGCTACTTTTAAGGCCTTAATTTGATGACATGGTAAGCAAAATTGAAGATGTAGGAACTTTATGGTAATGGATTTCTTAAAATGATACAAGTTGCTCATTAAGACATAGTTAGCAATCTACAATAAATATGTTAGTAGGGAGCAATGGAATATGGGCTTAAAGATAACAAGAGAAATAGAAGTTTGGCGATGTGTTGATGAAGAGGGACGATGATCCGCAGACAACAACTCCCAAATAAAAAGTCTTTAGACTTTGAGCAACCTATGGTTATTGGGCTTGATAACTCTTAATTTTTTTCATAAGTGAGCTTGATTTATAAGATAGGCTAGAATGATTAAAGCAAATCAAGCTTGGTTTTGACTAATTTCCATTAGTATCAAGGTAAGGCCTAATCCATCCTTAGTCCAAAATGCACAACATTAGATCGGTGAAATCCCGTATCATTCATTTTATCAAACAAAAATAATAAAAAAGAAAGAAGGTTTGCAATATTTATGTTTGTAAGATTAAAAAGACATTTTTCTTTATTAGTTACTTATAAAATGTACACACAAAAAATATGATGTCCCTTAGCACATTGTAATTGAGACTTTGTTTTTAGGTGAAACCAAACTCCATTTTACTTTTAAAAAAATAAATAAACAAAAATAATCTATGTTTGTAAGAGGTAATATCAGTATGTAAGTAATTAATTTCATTTATCAAATCACTAGTAGTAATTTTTTATTTTTATATATTTGTTTAGTGCCTTAAATTAAAATATTATAATAGAGACAAAGATTATTTTAAAAGCTAATTATCAAAACTAATAACATTTCATTTCAACCCGGAGTGTATTATTTTTTAATTATAAAAATTCGGTTGCTTATGCCACGTACGCATTGGAGCTACAGAATTTAATGTGAGAAAATGATTACAGTGTTTTCGTCATAATGGGTCCCAACATTTTCCATTAATTAATTATTTTATAGTTGCACATAATAAATATTTAATTAAGAAATGAAATTGGTTAATTGATTTAACAAATAAATGAACCCAACCAAATCTTTTCAATACATATATGTTTTCCCAAATATATATATATATATAAATATTAACGTGAAGAATGTAATTAATTGTACCCCAAAATAATAATAAATAAATAAATAACATGAGCTGTCTAGCAAGAAGAGGAGGTGACAAATTTTAATTAAGAATTTTTTAATCAATTTGGAAAATGAAAATCTAAAATTGGGACACCTTCTTATAGGCACCACAAATAGCCTACGCGTATTTGGTCCCTAGGATTCATGGGTCCTTTGGTTTTTTAAGAGGACAGATTCATGGGGTCCTTCAAAAATTACTAGAAAATAATTTTAAATATTGGAATTAATTTAATAAAATTTAATTTTTTTATTATTAGATTTTTGGGAATATTCAGTTCTGAAATATAATATATATATATATATATGCAGATAAATGTTAGGAGGATGCTTGTTTGGTCATCGTCAAGCTTTAAATGGTTTTAGTTGCAAAGTAAGAATTGATTGTGTCGCCGGGCTGAAATCATCACCTTTTAATGGTTGATTATATTGTTCATCCTTAAACAAACATAAATCTTTCTAACTCATATATATATTTTATTATAAATTATTAGATTATTATTCAAATTTTATCATTTACTACGATTTAATTTTTAAAATTTATTTTTAACATTTTGATATTTAATATTTTTCATTTATTTCAAAAAAATAACCTTGACTAATTAATTGAATTAATAAATTAACAAAATAAATTAATCAGTCAAAACTCATTCTTTAAAAACAATAATTGCTAAAAAATTAAAATAATAAAAATCCAAGTCTTGTTTTTTTGACATAGAAAAAAATAACTTTGATGGGATATTTTACATGGTTTATTATATTATGCATAAATTGAATCTAAGAAAGAAAAAAAGGAGCCCAGTATTGGGTGGAATTTAGAAGTTGTAAAGCTTAAAGCTGGTTTTGCTTGTGGTGTTATGCATTTGTTATTTTGTCTTGTAGGGAATTAAATGTTAATATCCAGAGTAGGTTGGTGGGTTCTATTTAATGGGGCTACGGACACTTTGGGCCTCATGCTCTTAATATCTAAACAAAAATTTTGACTCGCAATTATAACAGCAATATTCACAAGGGCCCAATACTGCAATTCTAATCTGGGCCCATGAGCCTTGTTTGGGTAAAACTGTCTGGAGGCAAATTTCTGACCTGAAAATCATTGAATTCAATTCACCCACATTGCATGTTCTTGAAAAATATGTTGTTTACCTTTTTAAAAAAATTGAGAATGGGACTGAGATTTGCTATTCATTTTCTGTAACGTAATGACTGACAAGAAAACCAAAGCAGCAGCAACAGATAATCTATGTTGATGTTTTAGAGTTTGAACTGGCTCCTGCACTGCTTCTGTCTTCCCTCTTGCTTTGCCTTCCCAAGCTCCACCATCATGGTTAAAAGTGCCTCACACATTTCACATGCGTCTGCTTCGTTAGGATTTTTGTTTGTCGAAGAGTAAACCATCCAACCATGATCAAGCTTCTGCTCCGGTCTCACTACTACCGATCCTGGAACTTCAGCATCCCGGCAAGTCACCAGTCCATCACTCTTCTCCCCATATCGGAGCTGCAGATGGAGAGCGCAAACAGCCATGGCAGCAGATATTGGAACTGCTACTGGCACCTGACGTCCAGCCTGAGCTACATAATCAAGCTCATCGCTGCCAAAGCTTGGCAGAGGAAGCCATGGAAGTTCTGCATGAGCTATGTGAGTCATTGTAGCAAGGACACCAGGAGCAATCCTTGCTTCTGAGTGAAAGGATATGAGGGGAATCTGATCAGGAAGCTTGTTCTTCATGATGAACTCCTTCCTCTTTTCATATGTCAGATCCTCTAGTGCTCGTATATCTCCCTGTTCGAGATATTAAACATGGTTTGAACAAACAATATGCTTGGAATGTTTAAGAACATTGAAACTTATAAGACAAATAGACCAAAATTAACTCTTCCCAGATCCTTCATTAAAAGACCAAAAGTACACGCTTCCAGACATACAGAGGAAGGAAGAGATGGAGGAAAAGGATGTACCATTAATGGGAAATTCAAACAATAAAGTGATTACTGGCAAACTGAATGAAAATAAGCCCGACTTTTCTTTGTGTTCTCATTTTTAATCTTTCAAAGGGAAAACTGAAATCCCAAATGTCACCCCAACATTTTCACTGTACTTAGACTCTAACTCAAAGGTAGTAATGCAAAGATAATCAACCATGCCTAAGGAATTCAGGAGTATCCATTACAATAAATCTCAGCTCTGGTGAGCTTGGAACTACTTCTCATCAACTTCATCGATTACTCCCCTCCAATTCAATTTACATGGAGAAAATAAATAAATGACTGACCAAACCCCATTGTAAACTGGCTTCAATCTAAAATTCCTTTTTCCCCCTCAAGACTAGAGTACATAATGGATTAGTATTGTCTTTTCTTGACATATATAATGAAACCGATTACGGTCTTTCAGCATTCATGGTAAAGCAGAAAAAAGAACTACCTTAATTAGCTTGCATATCAAAAGCTCCATTATCCTACGGGTTTCTCTGTCAGCAATCTGCCCCTTCACGTAGGATATCAGATGCTATAGGGGAGCCACCATATGGGCTTTGTACCAATGCCAGCCCGGCTACCTTTGTTTTCAAGGTGACACCAGTAAATTGACAATGCAGCTGCAGCATCAATTCCACCTTTACTATGTCCAAGAAGCATCACTTGCTTACCAGATCCCCATAAATTTTC